AATACCTACACTATAAACAAAGCTATAAAGCGAGCTATAAAGCTAATAGTTCTCTTGTGTATGGGGCAATTTAGTGTAGGTATCTATGAAATTATATAAATTATGTAGCTATATCATTATCCATTAAGATAACTTTAAATAAATTGTATTATACCTTTTATACGTATTATTTAGTATTAAATGTCAATATTAAAATTAATAATATTATATATTATAATTTAGTTTTTATGTTTGAATTTAAAAGCAATAAAGCACTTTTGTAAACATTTTATTGGGCTTTTTTTCGCGACTGAATATTGGTGTATATCTGACTTGTAGTTATAGTTTTTCCGATATCAATTGAAGAACCAACAGATTGATAGTATGTACCAGGTTCGGTCGCTGACGCAGCAACTCGGCATTGAAATATTTGAAAAACTTGTTTCCGTATTTATTTAGCCATACCCATATACAGGTCTGGTCGAACTAAACGTGGAGGCGATAGAAATGTATACGCTCAGTTGAAGAATGCGAGCGCGGGCAAAGGAAAACGATCACAGTTACATTGGGCTACTGAGCAATAAATCACAGCAGATGACAAGTGGTTGATAAATTGCCCAGCAATGCGGAATTTGATGTGATTTAGATTATTCATTATTATAGACACCTTCTATCAATCATTCATATTACAATTGCGAAAGGGAGAAATAAGAGGAATATTTTGTTTACTAATATTATCACAACAATACATGGCATTTGGAGACCTTTTGAAACGGAACAAAACGAAATTTACCACCAATATAATAAAATTGTTTGAGGACATAAATAATATTAAAATATGTTGTTGGCTAAACGAACATATAATAGAAATTTTCTACACATTATAAGTATACAAATTATTATAATTTTTTACCTTCAGCAGAAAATTTTTTTAGGGACGCCTATGAAACTCATTAAATTTTATTATAACCAGACGTTTTTTGCATGTTCAACTGACTTCGGAAAGACTATACTATTTTTATCTCTTTTGATCTTAGTTGTCATGGTAGTATAAATTTCTTCACTCATTCATACTACACATACCACAACATACGACTTGACTCGTGACGAAAAAAAAATTCTATTCTCTACGGATTTCCCCCAGATTCAGCAGCTAAGTGCCATCTATTATTATTTTGTTCTAATATATCACGTCACTCTGCCGCAGTGATGCCAATTTTGCAGATTTTTCTGCAAAATGCAGAATTTTACAGCAAAATTTGGTATTTTGCAGATTTTTTTTTTTTTCATTAACGGTCAATTATGCAGAATTCAGTTGGGCAGGGGAACATCTGATATTTTATTTAATAAAAAAAGTTTTAAATAAAATCCCTTCCATTAATTACCTACAATTTTGCAGCTGCTTTCAGTCTTCTAGCGCTTGTCAAATACGATTCAAAAACAATACTAATACTACAAGAGGGTAAGTAAGATAGCTACTACTCTAAACTATAATAAACTCCACCAATAGTAAATATATATATTTTTTAGTTATGTAAAAAAATAAGTAGATTTTTTCTCTCATAGTCTCATCTATTATATTTTTGTTATTTTTTATAAATAAAGGTGTATTAAAAAAATGTATATGTACTTGCAATGCCCCATCAAAAATAAGTACAGTTAATTTCGAACAAAATTGCGCTTGGACCAACCACAAAACTTCCACTGTTCAAATTAGAATACATATACAGAAAATTTGATTTGCAGAATTTTCAACCAACCTGCGCAGAATACCAACCTTAGTCATCTGGCAACACTGTTGCCGATAAAGAAGATTTGCTTTCTAATCCCCTTTGGCTCTATCAAAATCAGCTGTTTTGTTGTACTAAAATAATGAGTCATTCGTCGTAAAGAAAAAACCGAGAATATCATATTTACTCATTTAGTGATAAATAATAAGGCGTCAGAGACAATTTTAGTGATTGTGCAAAATGTTCCGGTCCAATAATTTTGATAAGCTTTTAGGTAAAGTAAAATTTTTGAAGAAACAGGAGTATGTTACCAATCACTTTTTATATTTGCAGATAAAGCTACCAGTCACCTTTTGATGGAACCAGATTGGCCTTCTACGTTACAAATATGCGATTTAATTAGACAAAATGATGTACAGTAAGTATAAGAAATTAATTAATAATATTTTTTTTAAGTACAAATCTAGATTTTTCTTTAACTGCACAAATAAGGGGTAATTGACCTCTTAACATTGATATGATATACTATTTGTAAGGCTGTTTATATTGATGTAGATGTTGTGAAGTACTTGCCTGTAATTCTCATAATTTGTTTCAATTTGAACTTTTGCCTGCTTCTATCGAAATTAAACGAGACTTTGATTATTCATGTCTTTTTAGGCCAAAATATGCCCTAAACGCTTTGAAAAAGAAACTTATCTCTTCTAACCCTCACTCTGCTATGTATGCCCTTTTAGTCATGGAGAGTATGGTCAAAAATTGTGGTGAGAATACAATAACTTTTTAGATTTCACTTTTCTGATATTTTAATACTTTAGGACCTGTGTTGCATGAAGAATTGACAACAAAGGCAAACTGTGAATATATACATGAATTAGCCAGAACTACAACTCACGAAAATGTACGTGCTAAGTTGCTGGAACTTATTCAAGCTTGGACTTTTGCTTTTAGAAAAAATCCTAAGTATGGCGCTCTAAAGGTATGAATACTATAAGTTCTAAGTTAAATTTACTAAATAACACACATAATTGAAACTAGATTATTGATTTTGTGTTTTATAATCTAATTAGCTTAGTCATTCTGTCTAGGACACTATGAATGCGATGAAGTCGGAAGGATACAAATTTCCTCCACAGCGAGAAACAGACGCCATGTTTTCTGCAGACACAGCCCCAGAATGGGCTAATGGAGAAGTGTGCCACAGGTGTCGCGTGGCTTTTACCCTATTACAACGCAAGCATCATTGCAGGGCCTGCGGACAAGTTTTCTGTGGATCTTGCACCACAAAAAGCACTACTTTACCTAAATATGGAATAGAGAAAGAAGTAAGTGTATAATTAACCATTTTGCATTTTACTTGAGATTAATATTCTGTATATTTATTTTAACATCTATCATTTGGGCAGTGTTATAATTGTTTTTTTTTGTGACTGAAGTCGTATGTGTAAATTTTTCATTTTTGGGAAGACATTTAAACTACCATACGACGTCACAAATTTAGATCAAATAACTGAACACTTCATATTTCAACTGAACATCTTGTTGGCATATTCAGCGAGAATAGATAGTGGGTTTAGGGAAATTTTAACCTCTTCTTTTTGTGTTCATTTATCTCATTTGTTAAAGCATTGTCAAGAGTTAAATTGTTGAACTTTCCTAAAGATGGATTGTTATACGGTAAAAGAAATTGCTTGTTTTTGGGATAAAAAACGAAAACATGAAAAAATATAGTTACAAAGTTTCCACCAATGAATATTTACGTTTTCATGATCTGTTCTAGTTAGAGAAGTTTAGATACGAATTGAAAAGAGATAGAAGTAGTTCAAGTCAGGCATATTCACATATTTTCAGTCGCGAGAAAAGCCTAATGATTAAAACAACGAATTGCAAATTTAACAAAAATCGTACTAAATTTTGAGGGTTTCCAATGTTTTTGAAAATTTTTCTCTTAATGATACAGAATTATCTCAGATTTATTTTTAGTGGACAGTGAAGTATAAATTCTTATCATTCCATTGTAAATCATCCAATATATTAATACTACAATATCGTCACTTAAGATATTAGAAATAAACATAATTATCTGTTTATATGGTCTGACATCTGGATTTTATTGGAAATGAATGTAAATAGTCTGTACAAAACAAACAATTAATGCATACATTTGTCATTTGTCACAAGAATTCTAGATTAAAAGAAATTTAGTATTAAAATGTTTATTAAATTTGACAAATAGCACATGTGATACGTTAACGAATTACTAAAACATGATTTATTTTTATTTCTTGTTAATTTTCTGCCAATTATTTCGTAAATATTATTTAAAACAATACAGTAAATAGTTATGCACTAATTTTTTAAAAAATTTTGTTGCTCCGTATTTTCATATACTATAATTATATACTTTGCCCGAGATGAGGATGTCTGTAATGAAGATATCAAATTCGGTAAAAGACACAGATCTAATATACATGTTTTGTCAAAGCTAGATTAAAACAAAAAACCATGCCTTCGTGGTAATTTTTTCCGTGCTTGCTTATGGAGATGTCAACTTAACCATTTGAATTTTCAGTTTACTGTCATCAATGACTTGTCGCTTGTGGCAGTTTAATTAGATTTCGGACACATTTTAACCAACATCAGGAGTGTTTTTAAACATTCTGGGCCTAAGATAGCTCAAGATATTTGCACCATTTTTGTAATTCAGACAATAGAGTTTTTGTTTAATTTATTGTAGCACTTTATAATGTGACACAATACCCAGAACAAAAAACTGTTTAAAAAGTGTCACAAATAAGTACTTTCAGAAATACTCAATCACGCCGAGTATGTATCCCATTTTATCATAATAACAGTTATGTTATTTCAGGGTTGTTAACGTTACCTGTTAAGATATAACATGCATGTTATTGAGAAATTAAGACCATTATTAGCAAATACTCGTATTGCAATTTTGTTGTTTTTTGAAGACGCTTTTGTGTCGACATTTTTAATAATAATTATGCAAAATTATTATAAACAAGTCAGTATTAGACAAAAACACATATAACTGACAGATGTCTTTTAGTTTATGAAACATGAAACAAATGCAAACTCATAAATAACGGATAAGTACAACATAAAATAGTTTGTAACATGTTATCTTAAATTATAACAGAGTTTCTTAAAGGCAAGGAATTTGGTGTTGCTATAGTTTAACGTAGATGTTATTTGTCTAATGAAAATGAACGGCTTGTTAAATTTCCATTTACTTGCCGGTTTTATAAACGCACATCGAAGGTAAGTTGTAAAATTTAAGTAACTTAGGTAGTATATACGTATATGTATACAGCGTGGTAAAAAAGTTCTGCATAAAATTCATATTTTCGTTAAACAATTTTTTTTTGAAAAAACGGTGAGACCCGTCGATTTTGATTTGATCCAGGGCACCTTGTTATGTGGAAAAATTTTTTTTTCGATAATCCACTTACGGCAGCGATGACATAATTTTTTTTTAAATGACAACGCATATTTTTTTCGTTCGAAATTGATGACAGTGATAATTATCTAAACAACGGTGTGAAAATTTCGATGTCTTACATAACAATTTTTTTTAGAAAAATGCACCTTAAGTTCTTATAAGTGATAATTGTCTACTTACACTATTAATGGCTCCGAAAAGGACAAAGTTGACAAAATTACATTTCAAACGAGTAAAATTACACTAATGTTTGTGTAAGTCTAGCGAAATTGTTCGAATTGCCCACCCTGTACCATTTGGCATTGTCCTAAGCGTGTGTAAACGCCGTCTACACTTCATGCAAGCATTCCCGGGTCGATTTGATTTATTTCAAAACGAATACGGTTTTTAAGTTCTTCCAGACTCGGTTGTAGAACAGAAAATTAAATGACATATTTTTTTTATCGGCGGAAAAACATTTAGGGAGTGAAATACATCCTCAAAGTTCACCCCCCAAAATAGTTTTTTCTAAATATCTGGGGTTCTAATCAATATTTTGGAATGAAAAAAAATGTAAATTGCTTCTTATTAAAAAAACCAAATGTTTCACATTAGATTCCGTGTTTGGAGGCTGCTACCCTTATTTTTTATTTCAGAAAAACTATATTTTTCAAACATTTTTTATATATATAAAAATTCATATTAAAAAAAATAAAAAATATGATTTATGTAAAGAAATTGACAAAATAAAGTTCTCTTTTTAGGGGGTGAACAACCCTCTAGTGTGCTAAAAATGTCTATACGATTAGAATTAACATTGCAAAATAAAGAGTTTTACTTTTTCTCTAATCATACGAATAATTTGTTCTATTAGCCGCAAACAGATTTAAACGGATGCAAACTACCCCATCATGGTCACCCCCAAAATATTTCTGTGACATCTCAATATTTTGAAATGAAATAAAATGGAAATTAATTCTTTTAAAAAAATAAAATGTTTCACAAGTGATTTCGTGTTTGGGGGTTGCAACCCTTATTTTTTATTTCAAGAAAACTAAGTATATTCTCAAACATTTTTTATATATAAAAAATTCATATTGATTCAAAATATTCAAAATAAGTATGATTTATGTAAACAAATTGACAAAAATAATTTCTCATTTTAGGGGGCGAACAACCCCCTAATAATCCCCTAGTGTGCGAAAAATGTTTTAACTTTTTCTTTAATCATACGAATAATTTTTTCTCTTGATCTAAAACGGATTTAAACATGCAAACTACCCCTGATGTTCACCCCCAAAAACAGTATATCTGTGATATAATCGGATTCTAATAAATATTTTGGAATGAAACAAAATGGAAATTACTGAACCCGTTTATTGGGGGATGAACAGCAGGGGTAGTTGATGAACAGCAGGGGTAGTTTGCATCAGTTTAAATTCGTTTTAGACCAATACAAAAAATTATTCGTATGATTAGAGAAAAAGTAAAAACTTTTTATTTTAAAATGTTAATTCTAGTCAGCACAGAAATTTTTCGCACACTAGGGGGTTGTTCACCCCTTAAAAAGAGAACTTAATTTTGTCAATTTATTTACATAAATCATATTTTTAATTTTTTTTAACAAATTAATTTTTTATATACCTATAAAAATTGTTTGAAAAATATAGTCTGAAATAAAAAATAAGGGTAGCAACCCCCAAACAAGAAAACACTAATGAAACAACTGGTTTTGTATAAGAAGTAATTTTGCATTTTGATTCGTTACAAAATATTGATGAGAACCCCAGATATTTAGAAAAATCTGTTTTGAGCAGGGGCGAACTTTGAAGATGTATTTCACCCCTAAACATGTTTTTCCGCCGATAAAAAAAAAATATGTCTTGATTTTTTTTTGTTTTGTGTGGTTTTCCCCAAATTCATTCTCAATAAATTAACTTTAGTAGCAAACTGTTGTCATAAAGCATTAATAAGTTTTAATTGTGATGGTTTCGTTCTGCCGGTAGTCGTAGTCTGTTGTTATGAAACATGAAACAAATACCTACAACATAGAGCGCAAACTCGTAAATAACGGGTACGTAAAATAACGGGTACATACAACATAAAATAGCGGCCGTGTTCCGTTTCATTTCATTACAATTAAATAACATGTCTGTTTGACATGTTACTTATGTTATTACGGCATGTTATTTACAAATGTTATTTCTAACATAACATTTTAACGTAAATGGGCTACATACTCAGCCTGAATATGTTGTTACACATTTTTATTATCGTAAGGGTTAAAAAACATTAAATTCAATTTTAGAAATTTTTTGAATTATTTATTTTTTTTAAATTGACTGTATGTACTTAAAAATGTTTTCAAAAAAACTCCCAATGATGGCTGAAATTGTACAAAATGTAATTGAACAACCACACATTGCTGAACACAGATTTAAATTTACTTAAAAAATTTGTTCTAAAAAATTGTTTTCTGCCCAAATCCGAGAGATTGCTCAGTATTTCTAAAATAAATCTGAATTGCATTTAAGCTTATTGTAGCGTTATTTTAAGTTGCCAAGAGCAACTTAAAACAATACAGAGTTTTATAAAAAAATCTCTTCGGGAGCAATGATATTTTTATCGCATATCGCAGTGAACGAGTTAAAAATTAGATTTAAATAATGTAAATATTTTTTAATTTGAGTTTACTTTGTTACTGCACATCAGTTTTATATCTTATAAAAAGGTTTTAAAGATTAATAATACAAATAAAAAATTATTTTTCAAATAACGAGATGTTCGTCTCAAACAAAATGTGTAGTGTTTTGTTGCTTAGTCTATTCTACATTGAAAGTTAATGTGAACTGTACAGGCAATTTCATTAATAACTTTATATACATTTTTATTGGAATATTAAGAGTTTCTATTCAATTGTCCACAACATTATGATGTACTAGACTATGGATATGTTAGTGAGATATAACCTATAAAGCATATATCATTGCTACATTATTTCTTCTGGCACATGTCCTACTGACACAAAGTGACCTGCTACTCAGTAGGTGCTATAAATACATGAATATTATTATAGAAAACTTACTTAAATAACTCTGCCCAGCTTCCTAATGATATTTGTAATAGAAAACTTTTATATGAAAAAGTTGTCTTCATGTTTTTTTTTTGTAAATTAAAGCTTATTTATTCAATGAAAGTGAAGGCCGACCTTGTGTTATTTATTAAAAACTTTGAATAGTTGATTTAATCTAATACTAGTAATACTAAAAGAAGGTTAGGATACATTGCCAAAAAATTTGTGCAATCAACTGATTTTGTATTTGTATTGAATTCATTATTCACATTAATTATTAAGCATCGTCCAGCAACCCATCAGTGTAAAAAAGTGAAAGATTCCAGACAAAAGTTTTTATTTTGTAATTCCACGATAGTGACAGTGTAATTTTTATAAAGAAGTAAAAAATAAGAATAGTGTGCCGATTACATTAAAAACGAGATTTTTATTTCTTACTTTGCTTATTTTTTAGTTTGTGCACAAACTAGTTTTACAATGAATCGAGAAAACAATGCATTTACTATTTCCGAACGTGTCGATGTGGTGTTAGTGTATGGTGCAGATGGAGAAAATGCGACTGCGACTATGTTGTACCGGGAACAATGGCCACAACGTCACCCCCCATGTGCATATACAATCCTACAGTGCGTTCAGTGACTGCGAGATACAGGAAGTGTTATTCCTCGAGGAGAAGGACGTGGTCAGCAAGTGAAACCTAATGTTGAAGATGCATTGTTGGAAAATCTTGACAAAGCTCCACAATTAGTACTCGACGACTCGCACAGCAAATAGGAACTTCATCTCGTACCCTACATTGCATCTTAAGGCGCCAGCTGTTGCATCCCTATCATCAACGAACGCGTCTTTGCAGATAGTTTTTACGGCAATGTGCCAATCAAGTAGACTTTCCTGCTTATATTTTTGTAACAGATGAGGCAGCATTTACCCGTGATGAAGTGAATTTCCATAATATGCACATATGGGCCGACAAAAATCCTCACGCGATTAGGGAAACTCATTTTCAACATCGGTTCTCAGTAAATGTTTGGGCTGGCATAATAGGCGATGTACTTGTGGGTCCTATTTTCTTTGAAGGACGACTAAATGGACCAACATATGCTGACTTTTTGGAGAACCGGTTGCCTGAATTATTAGACGATATGTTATTACAAGTTCGGGCACGCATGTTTTATCTTCAAGGCGGGTCTCCTCCACACAGCACTCGAGAAGTAACGACACTTTTGAATTAAATGTTTCTTCAGCGATGGATTGGACACTTTGGTCCTGTGCCGAGGCCACGTCGGTCACCTGATCTAACTCCAATGGACTTTTATCTTTGGAGTCACTTGAAGTCATTGGTTTACAATACTTCAATTGCTACGGTGGAAGAATTGCGAAACCGTATACTTAAAGCTGCTGACACAGTTAGGGGAATACCTGGAATTTGGGAAAATATTCGCCAAAATTGGATGCGTCGGTTCCATGCCTGTATCCGCGCTAATAGGGATCAATTTCAACATTTTATCTAGAAATGGTAAGTTTTATTTCATTTTGTTCCATATTTTAATGGAGTTTGTTTAGTGCACGCAGTTGGCAACTACAGATGCTTACAGATGTGGTTTTGTTTGTGAACTTTTGTATTAATTATTATAATAAGAAAATATCATTTTTTTTTTTAATATTTATTTTTCGTATAGTTCGTACTTTTGCATTGAAAAATTCCCCAAAAATTGAGAAGTTTCTATCTTTCAACGACGATTTGTTTACACGGCTGGTCTACAGCACGTAACTCATCGTACAGGACACGGACAGGACCATTCCAGAGAAAATATTTTGATCCATAACTGAATTTTAATTTACAAAAAAAAAAACGCAAAAATAGAGAACTTTTTCGTATAAGACTTTTCTATTACCAATTGTAGTTCGAAGGAGAAATACTAGATGGCGACTTCCATAAAATCCCTGTCACCCTTGTTGAAAATATAAATAAAGATAACATCGATTTTATAAGAGAGCCACAATCTAGTATTTTCATTCCTATTTTTGACTTGTCTAACTATATTATCTGAACAAGGCTATTAGTAAATAAAAGAGCAGTAGGGTGAGATTCTAATTAAACTTCGCCTTAACAGACAATGTAATTAAAGCTTTGTCTAGCATGTTTTCTTTTACATTTTTTCTAAATTGCTAGTCACATAACGATTCCATATAAAAATAAAAAACGTGGGATAAGTTTTTTGCCACATTCTCGAATTTTTAGGTACGAGTATGTGATGCATGTTTCGATCAAGCCACAAAACCCTCCTCAGCAAAGCCTGCCTCTGTAAAACAGGAACCTGAATTACCAGTGGAATATTTAAAGAGTCCATTATCACAACAAAATCAGGTAGTTTTCACAACTTGTATATTATTATTAATTATTGTAACAACTATAAATACAACTTTAGGAGCCGCCTAAAAAAACTGAGGAAGAACTTCGCGAAGAAGAGGAGTTGCAGCTAGCTCTAGCTTTAAGTCAGTCAGAAGCCGAGGCAAAGGAAAAGGAAAAATATAAAATGCCTTCGGTACACACCACTTTCAAAGGTAATTAAATCAAAGTATTTATTTACCTCAGTTATATCAGATATATTCTTAAAAGTAGAAATTGAAACATTTTTTCTACCGTAAGAAATTATTATTTTTAATATTTTTCTATTTCAGTTGAAGCCGCAGACCACGCTCCCACTGCAATCGAAGAACAAGCCAATCCGGAATTAGCCAAATATCTAAACAGATCTTATTGGGAATCGATACAGTCGAACGAGACCCCTGAGCAAGTGAGACCAGCTAGTCCATCAGCCCCCGCAACAGCGCCTGTCCAAAACAACGATACCAAGTACAAGGTGAAAGAAAACGGTGTTGGGGATAATGATTTGGAAGAGTTTATACAAACGCTGAAGAGCCAGGTTGAAATATTCATTAATAGGATGAAAAGTAATTCGAGTAGAGGAAGGTATGAATATGTTCTTATATAAAATTATCTTAATTCGGAACACGGTTTTGCTCCTTATAGAAGCGTTTTCGTGTACTTCGTTCTAAAATATTGCAAGGGTTGCCTTTTATATTTCGGAAATGGACGATCTTGGTGCAGCTAAATGACAACCATTGGACAGTGGGCGAAAATGCTCAAAATTCGTTGCGAGGTAGTAAATGTTGTCCAAATTGGGATATATTTTTTTAAATCCTTGTAATTATGTCTACTTTCTTATGTCACTATGCCAATTACGATAATTCGAAGGCTTCATAACAAAGGGGCGTATGAACCAAATTACAATTTATAACAAGCGTATGTTCATACGCCTCTGTATAATGTTCGGGAAATGTAAGATGATTCATACACCTAACATAATAACACCAATAAAATTTTAATTATTCTAAATATCGATACGCCTGACTAAGGAACTATGCTCCACCCTTTTTGTGACTAATACGCCCAAAAATACAATTTTCGTGATTTAGGTTCATACGCCCCTCGAATTATTACAAGATCTCAACTTGCAATATCTTAAATATTCTTATAAACTACCATCAGAAATGTTTCCAATAAATGATACCAGAAAATATGAACAATATTTAGTGAATATAAAAAATGTGAGGTATGAATTTTAAGATATTGATAGTGTATATGCCCTACGTGTCTCCGATGATGGAGATATGTTACTCTGCCGATTAGGATGGTAGGGCCGTACAGAAAGGTTAAAAATAGGGGGAAAAAAAAAGTACTCAAGCGCGTCAGATATTCAGAGGGGACGTTAAGTGAACTCGAACAAAGCTCCCATTCAAAAGACTGATGATTCGGATGTGACGCAAACTCGTGGCAGCTTTTTGAAAATGTAAAAAAAAATCCATTTTGAAATACTCGAGCGCCTTAGATTTTCATATAGACGGTTCAGCTTGATGCCCTGGTCGTGCTGATCCATAATCTGACGATTATTTGGAGAGGTTTTCTTAATCTGATGTTTTTTTTGCATGGGAAATAGCATGCAAATAAAACAAATAATAAATTTTGTTGAAATTTGTAGAAAAAAAAAACTTTCTGCATTAACAATTTTCGTACGCCCATGCACGAACTGGGTTATGTTGCTGTCAGTTATCAGTGGCTATCAAGGCCGTCAAATATAAATACAGGGTTCATAGCGGCAGGGAAAACCGGGAATACCAGGAAAAGTCAGGGAATTTGTTATTCTTCATAAAAAACAGGGAATAGTCAGGGAATTTTAAAAATATTCATGAAAGTCAGGGAATTTGATGTTTGCAACTGGAAATTTTGTGAAAGCCGGCCCTGGGTTCTTGAAAGAGAAAACTATTTGCGATTTTGAAACCTTTATAAGAGGTTGTTTGGGTATAAAAAAGATTATGGAGTCCAGTCGAGAAAAAATTTAATACATAAACACCAATTAGTATGTATAAATGAACTACAAGTGACCTGGATTTTTTTTTTGTCAGGGAAAACCTGGAAAAGTCAGGGAATTCTTAATTTCTTTTGAACTATGAACCCTGAAATAGGAGAAACGAGTAATTGTCTTTTTGGCAGTGGACAGTTGTGATGTATAACCTTAATAAAAATAATAATAATAAAAATTTGGTCGTAAATTTGAACTTCTTAAAAATTATTAGTTAGCTAGAAAGCCATTGAATTTAGAAACTTTTTTATTTCTTTATATGTTTCTTGTAAAACGCAATGTCTTTGAAGAAAATGGCGAATCACGATATCATTCGATCACATTTTGACATTTTCCTCGAAAACATTACGTTTTACGAAAAAAGTATTAAGAGACAAAAATGTTTCTAAATTTAATGGCTTTCTAGCGGACATAATTTTTAAGAAATTTAAATATGCGACCAAATTTTTTTTGGCTCCAAAGACAAGGGGCCTAAGAAAAATTATCTTAAGGGGGTTCCCCGCCAAAAAACGGAACACCATCAGATTCCACAGGTCATAAAACCCCTGTGTACCAAATTTAGTGATTCTCGTACAATAGGATTCAGAGATATTAAAAAAAGATTATTCTTAGGGGCGGATTTCAGGGGGCTCTAACTCCGAAAGAGGGGGCCACTTTGCAAAAATAAAAAATACGGGTCCCCTAAATTTGTCTTAAGAATTTATGATCAAGTTTTGTTGCATTAATTTCGGGACACCCTGTACATACAATACCACCATAGTGCCATAGCTGTGATGGCTGGCGTGTGGGGATGAGTCGAGGTGAGGTTTTTTTGCAACTTTGTGACCTTCCGACTGCTTTATGTCACGCTCAAATCGTCAGATTATTGAAATGCACACCTTTCAGCATGTAATTAACCCATCATACCTTAATCTGACGCGCTCGAGTATTTCCAACTATAAATTTTTTTTTACTATTCTGATTGGCTGTCCTACACGCGTGGCTTTATATAGAGGACTTAGATATGGTGGAGGTACTCAACAGGGTGCAAGGTATCCCCCATATGTTAATCTGCCATGCTCAAAACCCAAAATCCCCTCTTGGGCTTCCCTACTAACAGTGACTTGAAAAATTCATATCAGCCAAAAAATGAAATTAAGTCGCAAACATTTCTGTGCGATTATTTTTTACAACTTTTGACGTGGATTATCTCAACAATAGTGCATCAATGAACTTAATTTCGACTTTTAACGATGAAGCACCATCAAAAACCTCTGTATATCGGTGGTATACGAAAATCAATTTGTAAACGAAAATCAATCGTAACCGTCATCCAAAATCGATTATTTTTCCAGAAAAGTTAATCTTGTTCGTGAACTGATATTGCAAGATCGTCATGTTACTTACCATAAGATTAAAGCATCCTTGAACATGAGTGAGACCAGCATATATTCAATGTTGCATAAACATTTGGTCTTAAAAAAATTTTGTTTGCGTTGGATCCCATATAATTTGACAAACACTTGAAAAAAGACTCGTGTCAATTGGTCGAAAAAAATACTCAAGAAATACGATCGAGGTACTTCAAAACATGTCTACAACATCATAACAGGTGACGAATAATGGCTCTATGTGTTTGAGCCCGAAAATAAATAGCAATCGACTGTATGGGTCTTTCAGAATGAGCCAAATCCAACAAAAGTTGCTCGCTCTCAAAGCACTTCCAAGCAAATGATTGCCTGTTTTCTTGGAAAAACAGAACATGGTAACTGTACCATTAGTGCAATGTCAGACGGTCAATTCTGAATGATACACAGTAATTTATTCGCCAGAAGTCTTTGGGAAAATAAAAGAAACCGCAAGCAGGAGACTTTGAGAACTGAAAAAGTCGAATTTATGGGTCATCCGTCGTACAGCCCTGATTTGGCAACCAGTGGCATTTTTTATTCCAGCACATCAAAAATAAATTACTAGGTTTTTCGACCCCTGGAGAAGTGGCTGATGCATTCAAAATGCATGTTTTGGAGGTACCTCAATCGAAATAGAAAAAATGCTTCGAAAATTGGTTCAAGCACATGCAAAAATGTATTGATCTTCATGGAAAATATTTTGAAAAACAATAATAAAGCCATATAGGTACGATGAATAGTTTCTTTTTTTTGTCCTCTATTCCCGAAATATGAAAGGCTACCCCCATAGTTCACTATTATTTGCGGATTCATACCATTAATGTTTGATCCTACTATTGAAATACTTGTTTGTTAATGTAATTTATATAAATCTGTTTCAGATCAATTGCAAATGATACAAGCGTCCAAACCCTCTTCATGAACATCACGGCCATGCACTCGAAACTTCTCCGATACATCCAAGAACACGACGACAATCGTTTGCATTTCGAAGGCCTTCAAGACAAATTGACCCAGGTCAAGGATGCCAGAGCGGCACTGGACGCTCTCCGAGAGGAACACCGTGAAAAACTGCAACGTGAGGCGGAGGAAGCCGAACGTCAGCGGCAGCTCCAGATGGCGCACAAGCTAGAGATAATGAGGAAAAAGAAGCAGGAGTACCTGCAGTACCAAAGACAACTGGCCCTGCAGAGGATTCAGGAGCAAGAGAGGGAGATGCAGATGAGGCAAGAGCAGCAGAAGCAGCAGTACATGATGCCACAGTATGGGTATATCGGGTCACCGGTGCACGCCCCCCAGTTTCCCCCAAATACTGCCCCGCCTGTTGCGGCTTACCACCCTTACCAGTTCAGTCCACACATGATGCCGCCGCAAAGTGCGCCACATCAGATGGGACATTCGGGAATGCCACCGCAAGGTAAGGATATATCACATATGTAATGGTGCGTCCAAACTTGAACATTTTAACCCGAACGAACGGAACGAACTGAGCGTGCAGAAACAAGCGGAACAAATAGTCCGAACAAAAAAATCTATGCGTTCGCGCGAATGTAAATATTTATAAAAGTTCCAGTTGCTCGAAATGTTTGTGGTGTTTAAAAGATGAAAATGATATTTGCTCGTTTTTTTTTTTTTCTATAAAAAAGAAACGGAACAATTTAGAGACAAAAAATACGAATACTGATTAGCACTACCTTTTAAGGGGTTACACCACTGTAACGGCCTAATAAAGCGTATTTTTGACAATTTTTTTTTTAATAGAAGGAAAGGTAATAGAAAAAACCTGTTTAAGTATGTTATTAAGCATGTATTTAAATGTACAGAAAAATTTGTTTATTAAAAAATATTTCGAAATGGCGGCACTGGAGCCATTCTCCTGAAGCATGTTGCCGTCAAGGGATCGTAAAAATATTGTTTTTTGTAAAATTGGCAAGTGTTTGAAGTAAAACATAAAATTTTTGACGAAAAAACGGGCAATTATTTCTTTTTTAATTGCCAGTGTTGCGAGAAACAACTACTCTGCGGGCTATATGCTCCGACCGGCATTGAATTATACTCGCAATAGCTAGGATGGTTCGTCAGTTTAACCCACCAGGCAGACCGGTTTCGGACTTATTGGTCCTCATCAGTGTGTCATAGGTGAGACAACCGACAAACGATCCAGCCATTATGCGGCCGTATCCTCACGACAACATTGTACGCGGAGCGCAATGGCAATGGGCAATTATTTGTTTATAATAATTGTTTAAATTAACATCGAAAAATGTACATATGTGTTTCTCTTCAAAATATTGTTTTAAATATGTGGTTAAAAGGAAATGTTGAAAATTGTTGGGAGTTATAGTGTGTGCCTTTTTGAAAAAGCGTGTTTCGGGAAAAACGCGTTTAAAGTTTTAAAATTAGTTGTAGACATGAAAAAATCAAAAATTCGACTGTTTTAAATTTTGCTTGAATTGTACACGCATACTCCCTAACGACGTCTATGAGTGTATTAGAAAAGTTATAAATCAACAGGTAAGAAGGTACGCGTACCTTCCGAGCAAGTATGTTCATAGCGCAAGTCATATGAAAGACACCCGACACGATTTAGGAAAAGCGCAAAATTAAACAAAAAAAAATTATTTCATATATAAAACCTTTTGCCTCATATTTTAGAAGGCTCAAACTACCTTCTAAGCAAAAAAAAAAAAATTTTTGATTCTACAATGGTATAACCCCTTAATGTAGTTGTAAATTAGTCAAAAATAGGAAAAAATGACGAAGCCAATGGATATGAAAATTCTATCGACATCGCATCGATAACCTGTTTTTATGAGAAATGGACCACATTCACTTAAAAAATTTTATATGAATGAGTTCTGAAGATTTGAGTTCATTAAAAAAATTAATTGGACCGATAATTCAACAAAAGGACACAAAGCGATACCACTTAAGGGAACGTACCCATACTACGTGACTAATTTTTTACAATTTTTCCATAACTTTTTCGTATAACTGTGCACCTATTTTGAGATATTGTGTTTGAGGGCTTCAATAATTTCTGGAGCATTAACATCCACACTAACCTTCACATAATTGACAGAAAGAGATCCAGTGATGTCAAGCCATATGATTTAGGCAGCCAATTAATGTTTCCGTGACAGCCAAAAAAATCAGTAATCGTATTTCGAAGAAATACGGCCCTATGATGCCGCAGCTCCAAAAAACTGCGTCACGTGGACGAAGAGGTTGTCCGACAATCACTGTTGGATTTTTGAAGTCTCAAATGAGACAGTTTTGCTTATTGATGTAACCTTGTAAATTGAAATGCGTGTCATCCCCTCATCAAAAATACAGCGTTGTGTATGGTTGTCGGCAAATAGCCCACTGTAGCAATAAACAGCAGCTTATATTATAAAATACAAAAACAGATAAATGGCCACGTCCTCGTTACGTTACTTCTTTAAATATTATATCATGGTACCTTTGAAGTAAGTTAACATTCGTCATGTCAGTTGATTTCTTAACAGACATATTTCTGGATGCAAATGAGATGCTGAAGTTGCACCTTTGTCAGTACTCTTCATAAACGAAAAGCATATCTACAACTACTAGGTTGCAACTACATTAGTCAAGTCAGCGCTCAGCCTGGATGCTGACGGAGTAGCGAATACAACCAAAAGTGATTACCAGTACTGCCTTTTGACCTATGCCTGAGATAGATTTTTGCTTTTGGAAATTCAACATGATTTTGTTGAACCAATAGATGGTTTTTAATGTAGGTAAAAAAAATATGAACACAACCAAAGAAAGACATCTAAAACATATACAAGGTGTCCCGAAATTAATGGGACACAGAGCAAGGGTAGATTCCTTACATCAAAATAATGCGATTAAGTCAAACTTACCTTGGTCCATTTGTGCCTAATAAAGTTACAGGGCGTTAAAGTTGAAATTTTGAATTCGAAATTCTTAAAATTCTTAGAAAGTTTTCAAAGGATTATTTTGAAAATTTGGATTAGGAGGTTTTCTGGGACTAGAAAAACGAATCCGTACTTAATTTTGCTGTAGACGCTAGAGGGCACTACGAAATGTACTTTTGGTTGATAAAAACTGGTTATAACTTTTTTATCAGTGTGTACGAAAGTTTTAATAGAAAAATATTGTTCTATCTATTTTTCACAATTAAGGGTACTTGTTTTATGTCGATAAATTTAACCGTTTTCGATTTATTACTTGTTTTTCTTTTGGATGCAATAAAATAAAATATAATAAAAGTTTGTAGTTACTTACGTAAAACTGTCATAGTAAGCTTTGGTTATTTGAAAACAAATTGTACTATTGACAATTAGCTGATTGACAAGTAACTTATGTTAAATAGTGTATTCCTTTAAGTTTTTGTTTATAATTAATAATATCACGTGAAATATGCCTCGCCATAATATATTTTCTAATGAAGAAATGCGAGATATGGTATGTATTTATGTAAAAGAAAATTTTAATGGACGTCGTGCGTTAATTAATTAATTTCGGGACACCCTGTATATTTTAATCGAGATCAAAATATAATGGGTTTTCCATTAAAAGAATCATACATTTGGTTCACTGTTTTTTGTGCCATACAGTGTCATTAAAAATTTGCAGCAAGTTGCACTGGATATATCCTTTTTTTCGAAAAATGACTAGTTTTCAGTTTAATAGACACAAGCGTTTGTATACAGGGTGTTAATTAAGTATGTACAATAAATTCAACAGATGGTTATTTGACTGATTTTAAAATAAAAAGTTCATATAAACATTGGTGCGCAGATGCTTTGTTTTGAAGATACAGGGTGTTAAACTTATCCTTTACCAATTTTGTTGTAATTTGGCAGTGTTATTTGTAGTGCTAATTTAACCCTAACATTATTAGATGTACAGTCCAGTGGCTTCCCAAGCGGTACCTTAACGAATATTTTTATGAGGATTTTCTATTTTTCCCCATGTTTCTTGTGTTGTCCAGGGATATGCAATTAAATGGATTTTATTTTTTTTCTCCAAAAATTAATCAAGATGCGAAAAACATTCGAGGGACAAAAAAGTTGTATATTTAGTTGCTTAATCCAAAAAAAATATAAAAATTACAAAAAGTCAGTGCCTTACATTTTTTTGTCGAAAATATTCGTTAAGATACCGCTCGAGATGGCACTGGACTAAATAAATCTAATTACAAACAAAATTGGGTAAAGGGTATTTTAACACCCTGTATCTTGAAAACGAAGCATCTGTGGGCCAATGTTTATATTAACTTTTTGTCTTAACATCACTTAAATAATGGTCTGTTGAATTTATTGTACATAGTTAATTAACACCCCGTATTTTAGGATCTCTTTCAATTCTGATACGTCTGGTTCTAACAACGTCCCAAATTACACAATACAAAATGGATGATATAATAAAACTGAAACTGAAAACTTAATCAGTATAATACCAAACTTAAAAATTGAAATATGTGGTCAGTCATTGGAAGCAAAGTCAGAATAATCGAACTTCAGTGTATGTTACTCTACAGGTCACTCTTCACGGGGCATTTTGCATTACCAAATTTTTGCAAGCTCTTGCTTTATTTCGGTCGTATTTTAAAATCAATTTTCTAGCGTTTTCCTAGGTAAGTTTCCTTTTTCTGACGAATCCTCACCAACTGTCTCCAAGTTTCTCTGTAAAGCAGAGGTGCAATGTGCCGGGAACATTCATCTCCAAAAATCCGAATACTGACAAATGGTTAGGCGAAATGTCAAAAGGAATTTTGCTCTTGCGGCATAATATTATACTAAAAAGCTTGGTTGGAACATTTCACGATTTTTGTTTACTTCCATGGCAAATAAATCGTTGAAATGTTCAATATAAAAACCCCCCACCAAGGAGCCACTGTAACTCATTATATAAACACCAAAGTACCTATAAGCTCCAAGGACGGTGGTCAGCTGTTTGAAAAAAAAAATTATAAAACCACAACACAATGTGGTTGTGCTTGGGCGATAGATATATTTCTGGACCTCATCGAAAAGATGTGGTCATAATACTGGAAACAATTTCATGTTCATTATTCTGGATGTATTATGAATTATAATGAGCAATTGCTCATTTACCAATAATTATTAAAAATGTCTATAAGCAATAAATAATAATGAAAATATTTAATCCCAATCTACTTTGCTTTAAGGCTCTCGATGTATGTGCATTCTTGATTCTTAAAAAAAATAAATAAATTGTTAGGATAGATATGTACAAAAAAATACAATCATAACGAGTATGCGGAGAGCCTTGAAGCAAAGTGGAATTAGCTATCTCTAGTTATTACACCGTGTTACATCAATTTTCAGGTTCTCTCCCACCTCAACCGTTACCTCAAAATCCTGCTATGATGGGCCAACCGCAGGGCTTCCCACAAGGGCCTCCTACGCAGAATCCAGGACAAAACCCACCCGTATCTGGTCCTCAAACACAATTCGCGCCACACGGACTTCCTCACCAACATATTATGGTTCACGGTATGCAACAGATTGGTTTGCCACACTCGCAAATGGTTCCGCAACATCAGGGAGGCATACCACCCAACCAAATGGGAATGCCGGCTACTCAGGCAGGCATACCACAAACTCAGGCGGGCATGCCTCTTCACCAAGCCGTAATACCACATTCTCAGGCCAATATTCCTACTAATCAAAGTGGCATGGGCCCTACCCAAACGGCAATGATGCCAGGCCAAACTGGTATACCACACCATCCAGGCCAAGGAGGCATGGCACCAAATCAGGTCAGTATGCCCAACCAAGGTGGTATGCCACACGCCGCCATGCCCCTAGGCATGCAGCCTGGGCAAGGTATACCGCCAAATCAAGTTATGCCACATCAGGGCCAAATACCACCCCAATATCAAACTGTAGGCCCTCAATCGATAAATCCGCAGCAGAACGGGGAAGCGGAAACCGCAGAACTTATAAGTTTTGATTAATGTGAGCAATTTTAATTTCCGGAGAACTTAGCTTTATGTAGCACTTTATAATTAAATATCTATGTAAATGGTTATTTTTAATAGAAGGTGTCCCTATAATTCGCTTTATTCTAAGTGTATATTTTTTATTTAGTGGAAGATATGAATATTATACCATAATTATAAAATAAAATTAAGTGTTGTTTCACAAATTTTTTTCCCGTAGTAAAATAGAATGTTCCCGTTATACTTCCTTCTACACCTTACGGTCTTTTTTTTATCGAGTCGTTAAGTATTAAGCAGAGTGGGCCAATTTCAACACATTTGGGGCGATTCTCGTACTTTCTGAGGTACCTATTGACAAAAAGTAGTTAGTCAGATTTTCATTTTTTTTTGGGTGGTACAACTAGCGTAAATTTTTTATTTCTGCGAAGGAGCTACCTATTCAGTATTTCAAATTTTTGTTATAATTTTTTATTTTATTTTTTTTTTTTATTAAACACGTTTGCCATGAGTGCGTACCCAATTGGGACCGTTGTAAAATCTTATCTTTCTTGATTTGTATACATGTTTTTTCATAATATCAAACAAATTTAACAATGAAGACACAAACACACCTCACTATCACGAAACTGAAATAAAAAATTTTCTATACTACAAATACCACTTGAAATTTTACTCTGTTTAATAAAACACATCATTACATTATACAAATTCTTTCTTGATTCCAGTAAAAACTAATTTTTCACAAAAAAACTGATAATAAACTGAAAACTAAAAAGTATGTATTTAAATGTATCGGTGATGTAAATGCCTATTCTTTTTTATCCGAATTAGCGTTGACCATTTGTTTTTTTGCCCACCTAGCACCCTGTTATACAAGGTGTCTCTAAAGGGTCTGTACAACACTCCACCAGAAATAGTATGGCTCAAAATAAGTCTATTTAACTAACTCGCCTTGATCCAAAAATTAATAATAAAGGAGCTACGGGGTGTCAAAGTTGAAAAAATAAATAACATTTTCTTTAATATCTTTGCCTTAAAAGATATGTATCTCAATGGAGTTGAAAATAACTTAGACACATTTTTTTATGCATTTACAAATTTAAATGTATTTTTATTGAAAATGGTTGGCTTTACGGCAAGGTATACCTTTTTTAAACAGAAAAGTTGGGGGAAAGATATTTCCAGCCCAGAGTGAAACACGTGGCACAAAAAAAATTTTGGCAGTTTAAATGCATCCTAATGATCGCTCGTGGTGTCCTCTAGAAGATATAACGAAATCGTCTACAGGGTCGGAAAGTCCCCATTGTTCATCGGCCGTTACGTGAGAGCGATAAAGTAAGTCATAGAAATCCGTGCGATAGAGAAGAACGGCTATAATGAAGGCGTCTCATAGTCACCGCCCGTTTCGCCCTTCCACAAATAAGATCCACTTCTACTTGTAATTCAGCGACCGGTGGTCATCTTTGTTTTCATCGTTTGGCTTTTCTTTAATAGATGTCACTACTTATACAATTTCGATTTTGGTATTCCGATATGTTAATACCATCCGTTAAGAGAGGGCAGTACAACGTGTAACAAAGAAAACATTTTACAGTAGCTAGTAGATACCTCTGTTTGTAAATCTAGTGACCTTGTTTCCGCTACTGAGAAGTTATTCAAATGGAGTATAGTGCTCAGCTGCATTTAAAGTTCATTTAGTTGTTATTTAAGTATACTTTTTAAAATAACTTAAAAATCCCAAGAAATAAAGCAAAATTTCCTATTTCCCCAATTCCAAAAAAATTTGTAGATCTGGCATCACTCTTTCTAGGGCTGCCCTCTGTTAACGGATTGTATTAACATATCGGAATACGAAGTCGGAATTGTACAAGTAGTGACATCTATTACAGAAAAGGCAAACGATGAAACAAAGATGACCACCGGTCACTAAATTACAAGTGGAAGTGGATCTTATTTGTGGAAGGGCGAAACGGGCGGTGACTATGAAACGCCTTCATTATAGCCATCCTTCTCTAGCGCACGGGTTTCTATGACTTTCTTTGTCGCTCTCACGTAACGGCCGATGAACCATGGGGACTTTCCGACCCTGTATATATTCGAATTTCTCATCCCAAAAAATCCCCGGATAAGAAATTAGCTCAAAGCAGTGAAAAGATATTAAAGAAAATGTTATCTATTTTTTCAATTTTGACACCCTCTAGCTCCGTTATCATCAATTTATGGACTAAAGCGAGTTTAGTTGAATCGACTTATTTTGTGCCGTACTATATCTAGTACGACCCTTTAGAGACTCCCTGTATGTACCACATCAGCTGGATTGATATTATGTAGTTGACCTAAATAAGGTCAGTGTCAGAGGTCATCGATGTTAAGATTCACAAACTAAATACAGTGTTTTGAAAAAATTTAATATAATTTTTAAAAATATTTCAAATATGTCCGCTTAATCCATATACATTAAAAGCTGTAGGTTACTCTCGCTCCCATACTTGGCCGCGAAAAGAGGCGTACGGTATTATCAAAGGCTTTCCTCGCGAGTTGCGCAGCGACGAGCCGAGGGGCCCCTCGGTCCTTCCTTTATCCAAACATCGTATTTTGAAGGCGATCTGTTCGCGCCTTCTATGTGAAAATTCCACTTTAAAAAGAGTCCTCCGCGAAAATACAAACGTCAGTGAAGACATCGAAATAAATTTTGTCATTTGACTCGTTTTCCCGGACGATCGGGACACGGTGAGTCGTTACATTGCCGTTAGGCATCGGTTCCGATCATTTAGAGACGCAACTTTGGCGACAAAACTTGATTTTGAACATTTTCTATTTACATTTGCGGAGAACCAACATTTTAAATAGCCCGTGCAGGCTCGACTCAACGTTAGATCGGCGTAGCTCATTTTGTAAACTCACGACTGTAAAGCCGAAGGTCTGGGGTTCGAATCACGAGCAGGTCGCATTTTTTCTTTTTTTTTTTTTTTTGGGGAAAATTTTATATTACCAATCCACAGAGAACGCACCGCGGAACGGTGCTCGAATCGCGCGCTGCGCGGCCCGAAGGCGGAAAGCCCTAGGGAAAGGTCAAACTTGCTTGCCTTTCTAGTAATTATTTTAAAACATAAATTCACTTTACTTACTATTAATAGCGTACGCCTATTCGCTAGCCAGTGTTAGTTTAATAAATCATGTAATAAATATTAATTACAGTCGCGATTCCATATTTGTGGACTAAAAAATTGTGACCATTTCCCCTATTATTCATGGGTGAAAAATTCTGTATTCGACTAATGATGCATATTGTATTTTTAGAATAATGTGTATTTATTTGTCAAAATAAACAAGTAGGTATGAAAATATTTATAAACAAACAAATATTAGTGTTGTGAAGCCGACAGTCCTTTTACAAAAGCTGCCACTGATGCCGCTCGCTTACACGTGCGATTATGACCTCCTGCGCCACGATTGGTACCGAAACTTTTGTTTCATTGCTTCAATTTTTCATTCGTCGCAATAACTTTGATGGAATTATACGTGTCTCTTCAGCTTTATTCGGAATTTATAATGTCAAATAAAGGTAATTTAAAAAGCAAATTAGTTCCTAAGAGGAAAATAGCCATGTGCGTTCAAACGTTAACTGCAAACATTGTGCGAGTTGCGAATGGAATAGGACGGGATGGCTTTGAACTGATAGAATCAAGCGACATTCAGGAGTTGCTTGAACGCACGAGGAAGATTTGACTGAAACTGTATATTGTAGAGAAATTTTGCTATCAAACAAAAACATTTTGGAAAGTATTGTAGGTAACATATATTTATGTCTCGAGTGTAGTTAATATAAAAAATTACATTTATTTATTATTTTACATTTATTTCAAACCATCTGGACTGACTGCCATATAGCAGAAAACTCCACCACCAGGTACTTGTTTAGCAGAAATATAAGCTCTACCATCTGGAGATTTGTGATACAGAATTGGACTCACTGGTCCTATCCTTGGAAGGTAAGGGATCTAAAAAAACGTTCTCGGTATAGTTATTCTGTAATGAGAGAATTTGAAGGAAAGTTTTACTTAGTGAACTTAAAATCTGAGTACAAATGTTCCATCATGTAAATAAAATGTATGTAAAAGAAGTTATTAAATCGTACCTGCTTTGCCATAATATTTCCTAGGCATTCCGAGAGGGTTGCTAATTTACCCACATCCGTAGGTGGGTTGACAAACGGACCATGCAAAAAATTATTTCTAACTTGTATTCTTAAAAACTGAATATATTCATTTTTTATTTTACAAGTTTCTAAATCCTCGTCTGATAGACTAGCTAATTTCCTTACCCATTCGACGCATCTTACTCTGTCTAAAATTTTTTATACTCTTCTAAAAGTTACAAAAACTAATACTTTTCTTACCAAATGGACTATTTAACTGATGCGCATATTGAGCAATATCTCGTAGAGCATTTTTAAATTCTACACTGTCTTTGGTACCCATTAATTTTAAATTTAATTTAAAAAGACAATTTTGTGTTAATGAAATATGGCTTCTGCACTCGAATTTGGTTCTTACACTTTACATTACCAGAAATGTCAACTTGGCATAAACTACCTAGATCTACATATAAAATTTATAAATCAAGTAAAAATTTGACGTAGTTTATGGATTTCAAATTTTACAATGTAGAATTTTCTGCATAAATGTAGTACATATATGGGCAACAAAAGTATTTAATGAAAACATACTAGTTCAAAAAATACTTTTTTGTAACTGATTTTAAATTTTTGTGAATAAGAATTTAATCTGTACATTCCTAGTAATGACTAATGAGTAGATTAATTTAAATGTCTTGAGATTCTTACAAATTAATGTTCAAGGTGTCCCATTTTAATGTACCAGGTCAGATAATTTTTTTAATTCAACTTTTATAAAAAAAAAAATTCGAGCAAGAGTTATCAGGTTTCGAGGGTGTCAAATTATGGTGACCTTGAAGTCATTTGTCAAGATCATTTCAAGGTCAGTTGTGATTATTTAAATGAAAAGAAAACACATATTTTTTATTGTAGATTCATATTCTGAGGGAAAAAATACCTAACAATTGTATGAAAAATTTTTTTGAAAATGCTTTGTTTTCTCGCCAGAGTGCGCTATACTTTTACTGTTCCATTTTAATTCTCAGGCTAATATCTCAAGAAATAAGCAGAATAGTGAAAAATATTTTTAACAAAAGTTGTCAGGTTTCGGGGGATCAAACTACCGTGACCTTGAAATTAACTAGTCAGTTATTAAGGTCATTTCAAGGACGACCTTGATTTTTTAAATGCAGACCCATATTTTTTATTGCAGATTCGTATTCTGCGGAAAAAAATTCGTAACTTTTGTACGAAAATTTTTTTGAAAATGCTTTGTTTTCTCGCCAGAGTGCGCTATACTTTTACTGTTCCATTTTAATTCTCGGGCTAATATCTGAAGAAATAACCAACAAAAGTTGTCAGGTTTCGGGGGATCAAACTACCGTGACCTTGAAATTAACTAGTCAGTTATTAAGGTCATTTCAAGGACGACCTTGATTTTTTAAATGGAACCCCATAATTTATGTTCCAAATAAAATTACTGGTCACGTGGCTTGTAATTATTTATTATTTAAAAGATTGCATAGATAAATGAGTATTTTAAGAATAAATAAAAAATAACAAATTTTAATAAATATATCGACGATAGATGGCAGGGTATAAAGATAGAAGGTACAGTGACTCTACATCTCTTGTATATACATATGTATCCTGGCTGTCTCTGTATAATAGACTATAGTCACTATATTGAGAGTACCGCCATCAACAGCCATGTTCGGGCCAAGTGTATGTTTGGTTGCATTACCTCTGTCACAAACTATACAACTATAACTCGGCGGCCGAAATTATAAAGAGTGACTAATACATAATATAAAAACACGATTACCATAATGCGTATAAAATATAAAATGATTTCCATACGGTTCAATATTATTTATCTTTGTGCCGCTCGCCATGCACATCGGTAGAATCTATAATCGTGTATAGACTGAGTTACACTGAACGTCGATCTATATTTTATCTCTGTCTTTTGCACTTGGTAGGGAATAGGGAAATGCTTTTTTAGTGGGTGTAAACGGACTTGATTTGCCCGACCTGAGAAACGTCATAGCATAAGCGTAGACGAGGGGTCTAATTCCATGGCTATAATAAATTTATAAATTAAAAAAACACAACTGGGACGTTTTAAAATGCTGTAATAATTAAAATTGTTCAAAGTGCCGGTTATAGCAAACCGTAAAAAATATTCGATGTTATGTTTTATTATGTTTTTTCAATATTTTCTATATCTTGTTGCCTTTTACGCAGACGTTTTTACGTGGTATAGCGTTCTCTGGTCGAGGGTCCCAGTGGCCGAGAGTGTAGCGGTAGCGGAGGTTGTAGAGAAAGAGAGAGGTATATGAGGGCATTTGCTATCTCTCTCTAGCAGCATGCGATTGGGGGGATTGGGCAATGGGGACGGCAGCCAATCGCGTGCTGCTAGAGATAGCAAATACCCTCCTTTACCTCTCTCTCACTCCCTCCCCCCCTCTCTCTCTCCCTCCCTCCCTCCTTCCCCCTCCCTCCCTCCCCACCCACTCTCTCTCTCTCTAACTTCCGCTACACTCTCGGCCATTGGGACACTGGAACGCTACCTCCAGTAGTATATGCTCTAAGAATAGGCAAGGATGTTTATATAATAATTAATACAGAGAAATCCACAATTATTGGAGTGTTTGGAGACCGCAGCCTGTGCCTGTCTCTTTCAATACTACAGATTTTTATATGCTAAACATGGTGTTAGAACACAGACAATAAGACAAAACGCGGAGAAACGATTTGACGTAGCCGCTAGACATGACAATCCCCTCCTCAGGCAAGCCGTTGACTACGTACCCGACGTGACCGACAAACACAAAAGACCTAGACACCAACTTTTTGACCCTGGGTGACCACCCCAATGACCCCCCCCCTGCCCGCTAACCTTTTCTGTTTCAGAGACAGCCAGGATCAAGAAACGAAGACAACGACACACACACACACATACACACCCCCCATACCCTCCTTAACCCTCCCCTCCCGCGCTAGCCTAAGGGCCACCTTAGCAAAGCGCATCCCAGGCTGCATAGCCGCACTACCCTACCCAACCATACCACACATAAACATGACACTACCCCCGGGGTTTACACAGACGAGCCGGCGAAGCAAGAAGAGCGCCAGAAGAAAGGGCCCTAGCCGGCGGGGCCCAGCCAGGACAAAAGGAGGTCCCACAAAGCGCCTACACCGGCCGCATTTGCGGTCGGGGTAGACGACGGATGGGGCCCACCTACGAAGGCTGTCCAGGCCTACACGAGATGAGGCAGGATAAAGAGGGATAATCCCCCTCGATCCCAAATCATTGAGGCCAATTTCTAGCCATAGAATAGTGGCGCGTATTTTGATTAGTGATGGGCATAATCGACCAATTTTGATAATCGAGTTATCGGTAATCGAGTACTTCTAATAATCGAGTGATCACTCGAGATACGAGATATTGGTCGTTTTCATCCCAGCGGCGCACAAATATGTTTGTATTAGTCATATATTACTTATAAGCGTAGCTAAAAAAAAAAAAAAAAAGCTCACGCACTAACCTAACCACTTTTTCGTTTTATTCTAAAGAAAAGGTTACGCAATCAGTGACTATTTACAGTATGCACTAACATTTTGCGGTGCAACCGTAGGGTAATAATCACTCGAGTGGTGGGAGTAAACATCTCGAGATATCTCGAGTGATCTCAATAATCGAGTACCACTCGATTTTTCGCTCGAAATCTCCCATCACTAGTTGATGTCATTTTGTGCAATCAAAACATAGTTCATGGCGTTTTATCTTTCTACGTTCTATATTTCTTAGCATGACTTGCACAAACTCATCAAAAGGTGCAGCAGATGTAAAATATTTAAAGAACTATCTTCAAAATATAACGTGAAGTAATTCTAAAAATTCAACATGCCTCAAGAATCTAAAAAGAATGCGAAACTTGTAAGTAATAATATATTTTAAAATGTAAACATGATCTCAAATACCTTTACCTTTGTTTTTAAGGCTCCCTTATCGCCATCGCCTTTGCTGGATATATCTGATGATGAATTGGTGAGTATCTCGGTGCGAGATTTAAACAGGCAATTAAAGTTGAGAGGATTGTCCAGAGATGAGATTGTTCGAATGAAACAAAGAAGACGAACATTGAAGAATAGAGGATATGCTGCATCTTGTCGAATTAAAAGAATTGAACAAAAAGATGAACTAGAAACTGAGAAAACACAAGAGTGGAGAGATTTGGAAGTTATGAAGGACGAACTTATTCACATGAGGGAAGAAATGTCTGGAATGACTAGTCGTTATGAAGCACTGAAGCAATTTGCTATTAGCAATAAAATTCCCATTCCACCAGACCTAGAACATTTTTAACATTTGATTTATATCACATGAGAAATGTTTAGCTTTATTATAATGACTCGAGACAAAAGTAAAGAATAGCTTTTTAGAGAATACTATTAAAGTATTAATATACATTTTTTATATATCTTGAAATTACAATGTGAATTTCAAAATGTATATTCATAAAATACTATAATTCCAGCAGTTTGAACGGATATGTGGAGTAATAAAAGTAGTTGAAAAACTTGTTTCGGTTTTTAGTTTTGTAGTTAAATATAATCTAATAGTATAGAAAACTTAATTTGCTTCAAAATTTATAACACAAGCGTCTGTTGAAAAGTACAATTTACAAAGGGGGAAAGACACAATAAAATCTTGCAATTTAATAAGATTTATCACAAGAAGGGTACAGCTTTTTTTTTAATTTAAGGGTCACAAAACACAAGAATGTCGGTTTTAGTTGGTATAATACTAGTAAAATTTACACCCTAATTATCTTTGAATACAGTTGGACGAATTGAAGTCCCAATTCTCAGAATGCACAATGCCATGACTGAAGACGTAGTGTAAATATGAGGCAAGTTCGGCTTTAACATCTCGATGCTTTAAATATGTTTTTTTGTCCTTTAAGTAAAAAAATATGAAAATATTAATAGTTGAAAGTAAAAATTTAGATAGCTTACCACAGCAGAAGCCAGGGTGTGTAGCCTCTATGGCAGAAGCGCTGGCTGCTCCTGAGCATTCTCAAAAAATATTTAATAGTTTAAAATAAAAATTTATATTACGATATTGGTAGCAACATCTGACCCACCCTGTCTACGACATCCTCGTCGGTGCTGCCACTTACTCTAAAAAAAAACTATGAAAATATTCAATAGTTTAAAATAAAAAATTTAGATTAAGTACTTACGACACTGGTAGCGTCGTCTGTCCCACCCAGTATCATCGTCGATGATGTCACTTACGCTAAAAAATATGAAAATATTTAATACCGTTTAAAATAAAAATTTAGATTACTTACGATATTGGTGGCGACGACTTCCCACATTCCATGCTCTCGGTGTTAATACAAGAAGAATGGAGTTTAAAAATAAAATGTAGATTAATGATAATTTTATATGGAAATTATCTTTCCCCCTAAACATTGATGGATCATTTAAACTGAAACATAATTTTCATTTTTACAAAGGTACATAAGTATATATAAAATTTTAAATTGTTATAAACAAAAAATAATTATTGCCAATAATTTCCTTTAATCACAGGAAAATGTACATTCTCAATTATTATTGTTCGTTATTCAACTCTCTAATTCTAACTAACTTATCCTTCGTTTCTATTCCTGTATCCAACTACCTTGTTTATATAANCATGTTTCATTCAACAGTCAACAAAACAATCTTTCTTTGTAACTTAACGAAACATCTGTTTTTAATTTTTTTATTATACCTGTAAACAACACGCATGCGCAAATTTCAGATCATTCTTTAATCTGACAAATAAGCAAGGGCGACTAGAGCGCTCAGATTTTCTATTAGTGATGGGCATAATCGACCAATTTTGATAATCGAGTTATCGGTAATCGAGTACTTCTAATAATCGAGTGATCACTCGAGATACGAGATATTGGTCGTTTTCATCCTAGCGGCGCACAAATATGTTTGTATTAGTCATATATTACTAAGCGTAACTAAAAAAAAAAAAAAAAAGCTCACGCACTAACCTAACCACTTTTTCGTTTTATTCTAAAGAAAAGGTTACGCAATCAGTGACTATTTACAGTATGCACTAACATTTTGCGGTGCAACCGTAGGGTAATAATCATTTGAGTGATGGGAGTAAACATCTCGAGATGTCTCGAGTGATCTCAATAATCGAGTACCACTCGATTTTTCGCTCGAAATCTCCCATCACTATTTTCTATATCTGTGAACACAGCCCCGGGTACAAAGAGAAACTCTCGGTTGTTTGTTTTGAATCATATGTCATATGTCACTGTCATTTATGTCATTTCTTGTTTTATAAATACTGTAAATTCTAATAGCAAGATATATAAAAAATATGTTAATAAAATAACGTGTAATACAAAGTATAATCATAATGACATTTAAATAGATAAGAATTCAATATTTTAAATTTCTAATTGTTATGTATAATACTATGAAATAGAAAATTGAAGAAAATGGATGCACATCCTGTAGCTACTAAGTTAAAATTAGATTTTAATATCAATGTTGATCTCTCCGATGTTGTCTTTATTAAAGGCAACATAAGGAAATACAATGAAACCACTGCTAATAATGTGTTTGGTGAAAAATTATGTCTTGTTTATACAATAGAAATCTCAATCTACAACGTACCATTTTCCTTGAAAATACTAGCATTTGCTTATGTAAGTTTATTTTATATATCTTATATAGTCTATCTCATATAATTTGTTTTAGGAAAATTCCAGTGAAATTTTAAAGCTAGATATTGACTTGCCCAATAAAAATATAGAAAAAGAAATAGCATCTTGTCGAAATTTTCTACAAAGACATCGTAATTTAAATGCAACTTTCTCGACATTAATACAATTTGCAAAATTTGTGGAAACGAGGAGGTTGATATCTGCCATTGTTATCAGTAAAGAACCCAAAGTTGTTTTAAGTAAACACGATGATGGAGGGATCACTATTAAATATCTAGATAATTTATCAAATGTATTGATCTGTATTTATTGGAAAATTTCTTGGAGTTTAAAAGACTCTGTAATTGTTGATGTGATAGAAGTTTATTATAATAATTTTAGTAAGTAGTAGTCATTGGCTGTGTTCAGGGAATAGTGGGATCAGTGAAAATAACTCAGCGATAAAAAATATTTCATTGGTCAGCCTTATCATCTGACTGCGAATATTGACAGCGGGTTGTAAAATGAAATTAATGTGGTCAAGATTATTCAGGAACGAAATCGGAGCGCCAACAGGATGCAATAATTTTGCTACAAGATGACTTGTGATGTGGATAAACAACAAAGATTAATAAAAAAGGCATACCAAAATTTTTAGATTTGAATTCCTTCAGCGGCTTATTTGACTTGAAAAGATTGACTCAGCCAGTCTGACCATTCGCTGAACATGGCCTTTATTGTCATACAGATATGTAAAATTTTGAATATTTTTTCACTAATTTCATATATTTGACATCGTATATGTAACTCTTAACAATGATTTACTTGTATACCATTTATTATGTGTATATTTTCACCCACCACATAATTATAACATGGTACATTGGTTCAGTGAACAAAGCAACAAAATATTTAAATTCTGCCACAAATTATTTGATACTATCACACTTTCAAGTCTAAAATATAGAATAAAAGTTTTAGTTGCTGGTTGAATTGAGCATTAATTACTTTGTCATAAAATTTTAATTATTTATTATATAAATATTGTAAAACTAAACATGTATCAAATAAGAATTTTTACTAGATAATTAAGAAAACTGTTGGTTTTCTCTAACAGTAAAATTTTTTTAGTTTTACCTAATGCTAATGATATTAAAGAAAAACTGACTGGTTTAACACATCCATCATTAGACTTTCACACCAAACTGAAACTTTGGAAATTATTAATGAGCGATCTGAGGAAAAACAGCAGCAGTACCATTCAAGCAGTGATAACCATTAGAGAAACTCAGAAGGTATCAGAAGCTGATAGTGTTTTGGTCATATCAGATAATGAAGAAGACAACAAGAATGCAAAGTCTTCGGACATGATAAAAAATAAACGAAGACGGATAGAACCACAAGTTTGCTCATCGTCAGTTGTATATGTAGTTCCAGATTAGTAACAAAAATAGGTACCTGTTCATACATAGTTTTAAGATGCAGTTGACATTTTCATGTCTGAAGATTATCTGCATATTGATAGCAACATTCTTAAGATAAATTTATTGAATAATGAATTTAATGTGGAAGTGTTGTGCAGAAATATTTAAATAAATTTCTAAGTATTTTTAATTTTTTGTTATAATTTTCATTTGCAAACTTATTTATTTATTTGGTATAGGTAAGCTTCATAAATATTTTCTAGTGTGATTATTGTTTCTGTATGTTTTAAGGACTGACTTATTGTTACTTTTCCTCAATTCCTGCATTAAAAAATGTTTTTATTTTGATATATATGTATATTTTTTAAGCTATGAATTATAACATATCTTACCTAGAAATATAAATTTATTTCAGTAAGAAATTAAGTTATGTATTTTATTAGTCTTTGGTGTACACATATAAAAGTTTTGTTACTTTGATAATTAGTTTTTCATATGATTTAAAAGTATTATACAGGCAGATCTAGGCTAATTCACCTATATCCAAAATCGCTTCGTTTGGCCGCTAGATGGCCTCAAAGTTGGTGAAAATTTTTTGAATTTTGTGAATAACTTGAATACCTATTAATTGATTTTGATTATTTTTTGAGTGTGGACTTTTGTTTTCAATCTACACATTTTGGTGTTATACAGAGCGTCTTTTAAAACTTACAACTCCTACAAAATTGATGTGTGGTGATAATATCCGTCCATAACTTTTTCCTCTTTCGGGCAATAATTACAACTATTTTTTTTCTAATAGGTAATACCATTTGGAAGTTTTTGGGACCCTTGTAGAATTTTGAGTAAATGAGCAATTTGGGTACAAAAAAATATTTTTTAAAAGTCTACATTATTTTGCAACCCATATTATAATACATAACACTGATTTTGTAGGTTGACTGTAATTTCAGTCTGATTTTTAAGTCATTGTGCTTGACAATTCTTAATGAGTGTTTACGAACATAAGATATACCACCTGTTACTTCATTTTTCGATATTAAGAATTGGCAGGTACAATGACTTAAATATCAAACTGAAATTAGTCAACCTACAGAATCAGTGCCTACTAGCATTTTGTTAAGTATTGTACTATAGATGGGAAGATTAAATGAAAAATATTTTTTTGTACCTACCTCATTTAATCAAAATTCTACAACACTATAACACCAAAATGTGTAGATCGAAAGCAAAAGTTCACACCCCAAAAATAATCTAAATCGATTAATACGTATTCAAGTTATTTGCAAAATTCAAAAAATTTTCACTAGCTTTGAGGCCATCTAGCGGCCAAACAAAGCGATTTCGAATTTAGGTGAATTAGCCTAGATCTGCCTATTTTGAGTCCACGAATCCGTGGTCTTCTGTTGTACACGTTATTCTGGGACACCCTGTATACTCATATTAGGTTCTACGTGAGTTCTACCTTAATAAAATTGTAGTTATGTGGACAGTAATATAGACCCAAAAAATATAGGGGGCCTTCACATGTTTTAAAGCTTTTTTAATAACATTTTAGAAAATGGTTGATTTTTAAGATTCTGTAAATAAATTGGATTGTTTTTTTCAAAAATGTAATTTTCACTAAATATAAAATTTTCGGAAACAAATAATAACTAGCTAAACAAAAATATTTACGAGTGATTTTTTGGTTAAAATCTTTGTAGTGAAATTTTTGGTTAGGCAAAAATAGTTTGGTAAAAACAACCGTTTTGGCGCAAAAGTTTATTTTCGTTTTAAAATTTTACTAATTTAATAATTAACTCTAATGAGTTTCATCATTTCATTCTTACTAAAATATACATCATGTCGTCATGCCTATTTATTTATTCTTAAATACCGTATTTACATGAACACTTTGTCTTTCCTCCAGTGTTTTTTAAATAGGTAGGTAATTTTTTAAACTGAAAAAATATGACTTCTGTGTTTTCATACAGACCTTTTTTTAATTAATGACCTATCAAACAAATTGAAGTAAGTTATATATTGTTGCATTTAATTTTTTGGAGAATTTAGACCGAGTATAACTATTAATATTGGAAATGTTTAAGGAATCAGTAGTATAAAGGTAGATGTTGGGAAAATATGTGTGTATATGTAAAAACTTTCAAAGTGTAACAAATGTTCCGGAGCGACCGCTGCGCGGAGGGGTGGTTTAATCGGAGTGACTTTAGTATTGGCGTGTAGATTGAACATTATTTCTGCGTCATATAGGCATTCCGGGCATTCCACGATTACGGGGTTGGCAGTAGTGAACATCTACATTTTAATTATTTTTATAAGATTGTCAATGTTTAAGTTTAAGTTAAATTGGTTTTCGCAATAGCTTTATCAATTTTTCACGTACCAATTTCAAATTTAAAAGGTACTTCTTGTGATTAACAAAATCTTCAAGGGTATTATTGTCAACGACGCCTAAAAAACAAACGTAGACACTGAAGAAAGGGATTACTTTGTGTCCCACATTTTTTCTCATGTACGACCATGGACAATTTCTCTCAATGTCAGCGTAAAGTTTTATTTAGAGTATTTTAATACACTTGATAATTTTTCGTAAAACTCTTTCGAGATTCGATTTTTGAACACAGGGGCTAAACAGATTTACCATTTTTACGCAACTACTTTTACTAAGAAAAATTAAAACAGGTATTTATGAAACATATTAATTAATAACACTTATTCACTACATAAAAAAAAGGGAAACAAAGTAGCCTCTTCTCCCCAGTTCTTAATGTTCTTAGGCGCCGCACAATGGGGCAGAATCTTAAAAAGCTGGCCAAAAATAAAAATCTTTAGAAATCGATCTGAAATTTGTTACTCAGGGTTTTGGGGTCGTTGATTACGAATTTGGGGTCAAAATGACATAATTCAATGTGGAGGATTTAATAGAAGTAGCAAAAGTTTGTAAACAGGGAGTCGTAGATTAAGAATTTTGAAGATTATAAAATACACAATGGTGGTTGTAATTGTTGTATATGCATAATATGGCAAACATAAGAAATCAACCAAATAAAAAATTGTTCATTAAAAATTGTTTATAGGTACCTACAGATATATACAGTTAAACATTTATTTAAAAAAAATAGTATATAATTTCAGTAAGAACATCGTATTCTTTTTAAACAGCAAATATTAATTAAAATAATATCACATTTATCAAGCGTGAAGAAAATGTAAAAATGACATTTGGCATATGAAACTAATGATACATTTTGTTAAATAAGCATCGGGAATTGTTTACTACCTATTGCTTCTTCTCCTGCGTGTGAGTCAGATGTTACCTACTCCAGTATCGGTCGCTTTTGTATTAATTTAAAAAGCAGGTGATCTGACCCTAATACTAACGAATTCTCAGTTCTGGGATATTACTTTAACCAACCCACCATTAAAAATTTCCCGACCAGAAACTGTTTTTGATTTTTCGCCATCTTCTTTGGATTCACTGTGTTTCATTTACAATAACAGTCTTGATGATCCCGATAATCACAAGAAGTATTTCTACTGAATTTCAAATTAAGACATTTTTGTATACAGGGTGCTTCAGAACGTATCCAAAAAAAAAAAAAATTCTGGATGTACAGGGGACCCTTACAAATACAATTTTGTATAGAAAAAATCAAAAAGGGAGTTCGAAAATGATTTAAAAATACACTTCTGCACGGCACTGGAAACTGGTGCACTGTAAAATCTGACCTCGCACAATGCGACCGGCATGGCGGACAAAAACTTTCGCAAGAAAATAAATAAATAGAATTTTATAGCACTTATTTTATATCGGCAAATTCAACTGCTTTTGTCTTTATTAATTAATTAATTTGTGTTTTTAAATAATAAAATCATTTGACATACCCGATGTTAAAACAATTGTTCAAAATTTTATCCACCAACGTGTAAACACATTTGGGTCCGTCTTAATCAGTTTCTACGAACTAACACAAATGTTGTCTTGCTTCACCATAACACAAATGTTTCACCATAATACAAATGTCTCGCTTTACCATAAATTAAAACATCAACTCCGAGTTGCTATACACGCAAACCATTTTTGACAGTAACTACTAAAAAACTATTGTAAACACCACAGATAACAGGTAAACATTATCGCAACGACGATTACAATATCGGATTTCAGTATTCGGAGTCGCTGAGGCCACGTGGCTCTCCACGGGTATTGCTAGTTGACGCTAGAGACTACAGTTGTCCTGCTATGTAGGTAGTGGTTGAATATACTAGAAGTAACTTCAATAATTTTTTTCTCGGAAACTAAGGATTTTACAAAAATTTTTTTTACGATATCGACTCCAATTCTCATGCTGCAACTATTCCCAAATTTTTTTGGATAAGTTGTGAATCACCCTGTATAGGTAAATAGGGTTAAATCGTCGTATTATTATTGTGTTTCCGAAAATACGCAGATAATTCAATGATTCGCTTTTTTGTTACGCCCTGTATCTTATGCACATATATATATATATATTCTATATCTAACTAAAGTTATGAGTAAAAAAAATAGAAAAGTTGTAATATTGAAGATTTTAGTTACATTTCCAATATGTGCAAAATTGATGAACTAGGTCTTTATTACAAATAAAAACGCCCTCTTACAATAGTTTAGTTTTTGCGTCTAGATGTTCACGTTTTTGCCGTAAAAAATTTAACTTAAATTTGTTTATTCATTTGAATATCTTAGCTTTCCAAAAATAAAAATTTTATAAAAATAATATTCTAAATTAACATAGAACATGGCGATATCAGAGTATACCGATAGGTAATTTGTGTTAATTTAGGTAAAAACTGATGATGTTTGATCCAAGTAATATTAATAAAATACAGTTTAAAGGTAATAAAATGTAGTTATATGTTATATATTCATTATTCGGAAATATGCAAGAAAGCTATAATACACGAGGAAAAGTCTATCTATTATTACCCATCGCGCATTCACCATTTTCTATAATGTAACTGAATACTGTTGCGAAAATAAAGTTTTTGAAGTGTGCGATATATAGAGGGTGTTTTCAAAATAAGTGCACAAATGGCACCGGTGAATCTATAGCTATAAAGAACACGGCGTTTTGCATAAAAATGACCTTAGTGAAATGTTTACTTTACCCCTTAGAAACTACAGCCCAGATACAGTTAGTTAAGAAA